ATCATTGGGATGCCAAACCTCACAGGAGTGAGAATTTTTCATTCCCATCTTTCTGCTTGGGACTGGTTTCTGGACAATCTGTCTTCTGAACTTTAGTTCGCCTGGAAGCTGTTATTCCTATCAGCTGATATCTGCCTGACTTTTTCTCGTGGTGTGTGTGCATTTCAGGAAGGGGTGGGGCCCAATTTCCATTGGCAGTCACAACAACAGGAGAGCTGATTGTGGTTAGCATGTTGCATCGAGAGCTAAGCCACGGGAGTCTGAACCAGCAGCATCAAAGAGTGTCCATCTCAAGCATGGTGCCTACTGTGTGCCAGGCTTGTGCAGCCATTTAATCAAACACTGTCCCTTCATTATTGTGGACTTACTTGGCTTGACGCTTTCTGTAGTGAGGATTGGGGGAGAGAGATTGTTTTGGAGATTCCAGAAAGAATGGGCACCATGCCCTGGCAATGGATTAGCAAAACTGTTACTCTGCCCAAGGTAAGCCTTTGTTTAAGCTTGGATGAGGGTTTGTGGTTGGCAGGGGCAAGGGACAGTAGAGACTTGTAATTGGATTTTCTTATAGGAGGAGGTTGAGAATTTGTCCAACATTTCCAAAAGAGGGATTTGCATTGAGGGGTCTGAACTCCCTGGGAGGGACAGACTTTTCAAATCACTCTGCAGGACAGTGGAGAATTCATGGTAGCACAGAGGAGGATTTCCTTTCACATAGCACAAACTAATCTGTGTTGTTATTCAGAGCATTTAAAATCAGGTCTCAAAGATAGTGTTATAGCACAAGGAACATATATTTAATATGCAGGCTCATAGACATGTTACCACCTACACACTCACTCACTGTGCTGCTAATTTCCCACCATGGGAGAGGAAATGTAAGCTTATGTGTTAGTTTTGCTTTAAGATTGTCTTGCGTTTCTGTTTGTGAAAGAGAGTATGTTTTTGTGCTGCTGCATGCCCATGGACATGTGTTCACTGTGCATGAAAGACAGTTGTTATTTGTGTACATGAAAGGAGGATGCTATTGACAGTGTCTGTCTGTGTGTGTGTTCTGGCTTGCTTTAGGTAACATGTTCTGCATTCAATTAGGAGAAGAAATTCTTCCAAAATTTTCTTTATTATTCTCTGGGTTTTAGAATTTGAAACTGCTGTTTTGCTGCTGTGTGCCTTCCAAATTTTTAATTTATGGTAACCACAAAACAAACTTATCATAGGGCAAGATTGTTCAGAAGGGGTTTGCCTTTGTCTTCTTTTGGAGCTGAGAGAACATTCATTGCCAAGGTCACCCAGTACATTTAATGGCCGAGTGGTGATTTGAACCTGGTCTCCAGCATCATCACCCAACACTCAAACCACTATGTCCTGCTGGCTTTCACAGAATTTTGAATTACCTGGTCTTATTTCTAGTGTAAATCAGTGGCCTAAGGAATTGTCTAAGGTTTTAAAAAATGTTTTTTAAACCACTTTTATACAGAGTTTATTCATTGGTCTTCCACATGTACCCCATGTTAGTGATGTGCATTAGAGCAAACCACAAAAAACAATCTTTCATGTGATATGGGATGATCAAGACAATGTGTGGTATTTGGCCAATGAACAAGAATGTCTTTGTGCCTCAGTAAAATACTGTAAAAACAATTGATGCTTTAACAGTTCCAAACTGCCCAGAGAAGAGTCAGCAATTTGTTAGGCTCCCATTTCAGTATGGAAGTAACCCATTTTGCACCTCTGGAGACTGCCAGTGGGATGCAATTTGCTTTGGAAGCTGTACCATTCTGAAAATGGTTGTGATGCTTCTGAAAGGGGAAAACGTGCCCTCAGGGACATGTGTGCCACAAAAATGTGTACATTTAATATTTAACAATCCATCAATTCTCTCTTTCAACTATAAAATCAGGCATAGAAAATAAGTGAAGTAGACAATGCCATTTAAAAATATGCACATATTTTTTTCAATGTGCGTGGGAGTGTAGACATTTAACAGCATGCTGTGGGACTCAAGGTAGAACAAGGGGTAGCAGTTGGAAATTCAGCAGGAATACAAGGATTCACATGTTCCTGTATGTGCCAGTCACTGCCAGCATTGGGTTCGGAATAGGGAACTGTATGGATAAGCTGAAGAAAATAGAATCTATTCATGCCTTGAATTCATCGCCCTCACTGAAACCAACATCTTGGAGGAGTGGGATGCAAAAGCAGAATGAAATCAGGCAACAATATAGTAATGAACATGTGAAATGCACTTACCTTAAGTATTCCTTGCTATTTTAAACTTTTTTTAAAAAATTCCCAAATCCTGGATTTCAGTATTTAAAGCATAGTCCTGTGTGGGATTGCTGTTTCTCTGATTTAAAATGGTCTTCAGAAGCAATTTCTGCTTTGACTCTTTTGCTCATTCATCCTCCTGGATGGAAAGGGGAGAATATATTAATGTTTTGCATATTTACATCTCTTTTGACATCTGGCATAGTCCATTAGAAAGAGTCTATTAACTTGCTGATGTTGCTTTAAAATGAATTGCTCTGGAATTGTTATATTGCTGAAATTTACATTATTAGAAGCTATGAGCAGTTATGGGTGAATGTGCACATTGCTATAACTGTTGCTAGTATTGTCAGACCTATTTTCAACCTGTTCGATTTCTTGTCACTGATCTATATTAAATATGTTCAGGCAGTCCTCGAGTTACAAGCATCTGACTTACAAACGACAACAGGAAGTGAGAGAGATCTACCCCTTGGAAGGGAAATTTACTCCTCTAAGAGTTATCATGGGAAAAAGGTGTCTCCACTCAAGTTTTCTTACCCATTTTTGTTTCCATAACAAGCCAATTTTTTAAAAAATGATCAGAAATTCTTTGAAAAGGGGCAGAGACAGGAAAACAAACACCACAGGCACGTTAATCCTTCCTTATGCTATCAAAGCTTGTGTGTGTGTGTGTGTTTGGCTGGAGTTACACTTAACACATTCTACTTAAGAACGAACTTACAGAACCCATCTTGTTCGTAACTTGAGAACTGCCTGTATGTGATTTTCAGTCTCTTCTACACCTCGTGATGTTGATATTAGTGTGGATTCTACAACCAAGGACATCCTTATTATCATTTGGTCATAGGATAATCATCTTGTGATGCTGAGACAGTTGCTGTGTTATGATACATCTTGAAAAATCTGTGGCATAGCAAGATCGCTCATGTTGTACCACAGATCTTAGTCCCCTGCATATCTTCCTACCTTTAGAAGAGTGAAAGAAGATCCGTCTTATCAAAGTGAATCGAAGTGATCAAGGCCAATGGAGTGAATACTAGCAATTTGCTTTGCATGGAAAGAGAATCCCTCTTGTGAATGATGTAGTAGAGCCCTGGCTCATAGGGTCAAAACACCATCACTTTTTTATAAGCAGGAATATTGATGACATCTGATGCCTTTTCCTCTGTTTTTCCTGTACTCTGAGTTTAAAATTATGGATTTTCCTGAAACATTACCTTTGTGTGAGTTATCCCTGCTGCAGTACAAATAATTATACAAGGTGTTTCAAAAAGATGGACCCAATTTGAAATTGCTATATCCCTGCAACCATGAACAGGAGCGACTTGAGAAACTGCAAGTCACTTCTGGTGTGAGAGAATTGGTCATCTACAAGGACATTGCCCTAAGGATGCCAGAATGTTTTGATGTTTTACCATCCTTGTGGGAGCCTTCTGTCATGTCCCCACATGGGGAGCTGGAGCTGACAGAGGGAGTTCACCCACACTCTCCCCAGATTCAAACCTGTGACCTGTCAATCTTCAGTCCTGCTGGCACAAGGGTGAAAGGGTAGGGCATAGAGTTTTAAATGACTACTGCCAGATGACTCTCCCTGAGTAAAAACATCCCCTAGCCTCAGCCATTCACAAGATGGGGCCCCTGCAGCATGAGGCCTAATAAGCTATTCTCAATTTTTGGAATATTATCAAAAGATTTTAATAAAACTTGATAACTCAGTAAACCATTTACAACCTTTTGTGTAATTGTAATATGTTGCCATCGTGAAATATACTGCTTTGAAATTGAGTCTGCTTTTGCTCTTGAATGTCCAAATAAAGCCAATTTGTTCTGTAGAAGATCCACTGTTGCTAGCAATGAGATATTTTAGAATTGTTTTATTCACATGAATGGGCAGTTGCCTGTACAAGAGTATTTTCCTTACGTGTTTGACTATGGGACTGCCATGATAAGTTCATGGACTTCTAGGCTTGCTATGGTGCCATTTAATGGCAGTGAATGGAGCAGAGCAACCTGTGTGCCCGTGTGGGTGTGAAGGGGCCCAGACCAAAATCTTGCCAGCTGGCCTCCCTGGGTTGCTGTTATTTTGACTTGCTTTCAAGAAACACTCAACACAGCCTTAAATTACTTTTTCCTCCCATATGTCTTTTGTTCTGCCCAGCTTGATAAATAGTCTCATAATGATCCTTGTTAAGACCTTGAGTCCCTGTGTATTTGTACGGTTGGACTGCTAATTACCCAATTATCTCTGCTGCTGGGACTCAGGAATTCAAACACAAATGGCTCAGACAAGGCATCTCCTAGAGTTCTGTATTTCTTTTTTGGTGTTTAAGGGGAAAAAACAAAAATCTATGAAACCAAAATACACGTGCAGGCAACAAATTAGTCTGTATAGACACAACTGTTGTCAGAACCTTCTGCAAGTCCTAAAAAGCCAGAATAACTAGTGGCTGCCATGTTCTGAGAGCTGTAGTCAAAAAAGATAACTTTCCAAAGCTCTGCATTTTTCACTCATGAATGGGAGGAAAGAAATAGGATCTTCACTTGTTCATACCGGAATCCTAAATTTTCCCCACTGTAAATAAAGAAGCACTTGAGTGAGTGAAATTCTATGCTGAGAAATGATCAGGGAGTTAAAGCATTCCTTTGTAGGGGAGATTTTGTTCCTATCATGTAGCTGCTGCACAATTAAATAATGCAGTAACAGGCATAACTTTTTTGTTTCCTTTTATTAGGTGTTTGCAAGATCTCCCAGAATTATTCAGGCACGACGTAAAACTTCAAGGTAAGTGACGGTCACACTTTCAACAAACAATTTCATTGAGAGTCTCTCTGGTGAAACTCAAAATACCACTTCATTCTGAGGGATTTGTAGAATATTCTTTATTATTTCTTTTGATATTTCCTCCTTGTTGAAATTTGATAGTGCATGCTCACATTAGTTAATAATCCACAGTAGTTAATTATCCACAGTTTCATTTACCCTCAAAAATATACCACTGAACATGTTTCTGGGCTTCTCAAAATCCTCTTCAGTCTACTTCCAGCCCAAATAACAGTCTCATATATCCATATGAACTCTTGTAACTTATCCCCCAGGGATAAGAGGGTAATGAATCCACTTTCAGTCCCATCCATGGGAGAAAAGTGGGATAATAATAATTGTTGTTGTTCATTCGTTCAGTCGTCTCCGACTCTTCGTGACCTCATGGACTAGCCCACGCCAGAGCTCCCTGTCGGCCGTTACCACCCCCAGCTCCCTCAAGGTCAGTCCAGTCACTTCAAGGATGCCATCCATCCATCTTGCCCTTGGTCGGCCCCTCTTCCTTTTGCCTTCCACGTTCCCCAGCATAATTGTCTTCTCTAGGCTTTCCTGTCTCCTCATGATGTGGCCAAAGTACTTCAACTTTGTCTCTCGTATCTTTCCCTCCAGTGAGCAGTCGGGCTTTATTTCCTGGAGGATGGACTGGTTGGATCTTCTCGCAGTCCAAGGCACTCTCAGAACTTTCCTCCAACACCACAGCTCAAAAGCATCGATCTTCCTTCGCTCAGCCTTCCCTAAGGTCCAGCTCTCACTTCCGTAGGTGACTACAGGGAATACCATGGCTTTGACTAGGCGGATCTTTGTTGCCAGTCTGATGTCTCTACTCTTTACTATTTTATCGAGATTGGACATTGCTCTCCTCCCAAGAAGTAAGCGTCTTCTGATTTCATGGCTACAGTCTGCATCTGCAGTAATCTTTGCACCTAGAAATACAAAGTCTGTCACGGCCTCCACATTTTCTCCCTCTATTTTCCAGTTGTCAATCATTCTTGTTGCCATAATCTTGGTTTTTTTGACGTTTAGCTGCAACCCGGCTTTTGGGCTTTCTTCTTTCACCTTGATTAGAAGGCTCCTCAGCTCCTCCTCGCTTTCGGCCATCAGAGTGGTGTCATCTGCATATCTGAGGTTGTTAATGTTTCTTCCAGCAATTTTCACCAGCTTTGCATTCATCCAGCCCCGCACATCGCATGATGTGTTCTGCATACAAGTTAAAAAGGTTGGGTGAGAGGATGCAGCCTTGCCGTACGCCTTTCCCAATCTTGAACCAGTCTGTTGTTCCGTGGTCAGTTCTGACTGTTGCTACTTGGTCCTTGTACAGATTCCTCAGGAGAGAGACAAGGGGCTTGGGATGCCCATCCCACTAAGAACTTGCCACAATTTATTATGATCCACACAGTCAAAGGCTTTAGAATAGTCAATGAAGCAGAAGTAGATGTTTTTCTGAAACTCCCTGCCTTTCTCCATTATCCAGCGGATATTGGCAATTTGGTATCTCGTTCCTCTACCTTTTCTAAACCCAGCTTGAACATCTGGCAACTCTCGCTCCATGTATTGCTGGAGTCTTCCTTGCAGGATCTTGAGCATTACCTTACTGGCATGAGAAATAAGGGCCACTGTACGGAAGTTTGAGCAGTCTTTCGCATTTTCCCTTTTTTGGTATGGGGATATAAGTTGATTTTTTCCAGTCTGGTGGCCATTCTTGTGTTTTCCATATTTGCTGGCAAATGGCATGCATCACCTTGACAGCATCATCTTTTAAGATTTTAAACAGTTCAGCTGGGATCCCGTCGTCTCCTGCTGCCTTGTTGTTAGCAATGCTTCTTAAGGCCCATTCAACCCCACTCCTCAGGATGTCTGGTTCTAATTCATTCACCACACCGTCAAAACTATCCTCAATATTATTATCCTTCCTATACAGATCTTCTGTATAGTCTCGCCACCTTCTCTTGATCTCTTCAGCTTCTGTTAGGTCCCTGCCATCTTTGTTTCTTATCATACCAATTTTTGCCTGAAATTTACCTCCAATGTTTCTAATTTTCTGGAAGAGGTCTCTTGTCCTTCCTATTCTGTTGTCTTCTTCCACTTTCATGCATTGCTTGTTTAAAAATAGTTCCTTGTCTCTTCTGGCTAACCTCTGGAATTGCGCATTTAACTGGGCATATCTCCCCTTATCCCTCCTTATAATAATAATAATAATAATAATAATAATAATAATAATAATAAATTTATGTGCAAAAACAGATATGTTTTTGTTACAAGAATAGAAATTTCCACATAGTTACTTCATATGCTCAGTTTTTGGTGGTGTTATGACTTTTCAGGTCAACTCTGACCATGATAACCCTAACATGGGATTTTCTTCATTAGGTTTATTCATAGGAGGTCTACTATTGCCTCCTGCTATGACCAAGAATGTAACTTTCACACAGTCACCCAACAGCATCCTGAGAGGAATATCATCTTGTTCTTGATTATTCTGTATAATCGGAGCCCCTGGTGGCTCAGTGGGTTAAACCACTGAGTTGCTCAACTTGTTAACTGAAAGGTCGCAGGTTCGAATCCAGGGATGGGGGGTGAGCTGTCACTGTTAGCCCCAGCTTCTGCCAACATAGCAGTCTGAAAACATGCAAATGTTAGTTGATCAATAGATACCACTTTGATGGGAAGGTAACCATGCTCCATGCAATCATGCTGGCCACATGGCCTTGGAAGTGTCTAAGGACAATGCTGGGTCTTCGGCTTAGAATGGAGATGAGCACCAACCCCAAGAGTTGGACATGACTGGACTTAATGTCATGGGAAAACCTTTACTATTCTGTATAATCATACAACGTGCTTTAATTAAATTTCCCACAGAACAACAGCAATTTACAAGACATTCATAAGCTCACTTGTAGCACTCTGTGAACATATTATAGACTCAACAGCACAAACAGACCAAAGTAATATCCAAGGTTTGACCACATAGACAGACCCTCCATAATATTGGACTTGTTCATGTCCCATCCATTGTCTGTTCAATTGCTTCTCTTTCACTCAGGAGCTTGAGCCTAAATCAGACCATGGAGGACACTTGTGAACTAGATCTGGTTTATGTCACTGAGCGGATCATTGCTGTCAACTTTGCAAGTTTGTCAGAAGAGCAGATCTTCTGCAGCAACCTGAAGGAAGTGGCACAAATGCTTAAATCCAAGCATGGAGACAGTTATCTGGTAAGATATTAGCAAGATTGAAGTTCAGTTTCTCACAGGGTCAGGAATAATTTCACAGGAAAGGACAGTGTTCTATTAATCATTCACACCATATCACAAAGGTGAAATCTTTTTTTGTGGTTTGTCTGATGTCTGAAACCTTTTTATTGTTTGTGGCATATATCTTCTTTATTATTTATTGGCTTTTTAAATGTAGTGGTGAATTTGTCTCATGACACCTCTTCATCCATTCATCATCAGACCATCATGTTCATTTTGTTCTCTGCTGTCTTTTACCTGATGATAAAGCTGCCAGATTCAAGATACTGTTAACTTCACAAATCTGTTTCAGCAAATTATGTCCAAGAATAAACCAAAAGAGCAAAATCTCAGAAAATGGCTTAAGAGCCCATGCAGACAACAAATCCATGGTTAGTTTATTAATATAAAAGTTATAAACACGTTTTTGAAATCTAGGAAGAACAAACACATCACAAACACATCATGTCATCTTCCTTTGATTCTAAGACATCTTCAATTGTGGGATGCACACTAATTTCAGTACCACCAGCAGAAAAGGCGTGTATGCATATACATAAAAAGCACCCATGATTATAAGATGTACCCCATTTTTGGAGATTTTTATATGGGGAAAAAGTGTATATCTAGTATATATCTCCTACACACAAAAATACATGGACTTGTGTGTACCCACTCACCTACATGACAGAACCATGTTTTTATTTGCTGCTCTGCTCTTCTACTCCTTTGTTGTCCAATCTATTATCCACCATGCACAAAGCACTATTCTAATGACATTTTCTTTCCTCTTTAGCTTTTTAACCTGTCTGAGAGAAGACATGATATCAGCAAACTCCACTCCAAGGTAAGTTGGAACTAGGCTCCATTATTTTAAATTGGATTTATTAGATCTATATCTAAAAATTGATGAGAAGCTGGGAATTTGAACCCAGCACTCTGAATCTTTAAGAGAAAATTGCATCTGTCCATCAGCTCCACTTCTCTTCCACAATGCATTTGTTTTTGGCTCTAGACTCAGTGCCCAGAGGGGTCTGCCTGAGCTGCTTCCTTTTTTTTCTTTTTGGATTCCCCTTCAACATACATCTCCATAAGCCCTTTGTATACTTTGTATATATGCTTTATTCTCTCTCTTCCCCCTCCCCCCTATTTGCTTTGTCCACTAATCCCACCATGCTGCTGCTGTTTTTGGCAACCAGAGAAGCTGTTCATTGACCCAGAGCCAGGCACATGGCTGAAATATTTACCCTGCCTCCTTGCCTTTAAATTCTGGAAGAACAGCGAGAGTCTTAGTTTTGCCACCCGATTTTTCAAGCAAATGTGGCAGAAGCTTGAGAATGTTGGTTTGGCAAAGGATGCTGATGGAAGGAGGGGCAGAAGACAAACACCCTGAAGCTTTTTTTGGTGAGGATGGAATGAGGAAGTTGTTTGTCTTCTGTGAGCAAAGAAAGCTGCTTTGCTGGCATTGAGTGCAGCTGTAACAAGTCAAAATAAAGCAGGAAGGTGGGACCAAGGGGTTCTGAATTATGAACATAATGTGTCTATTGTGGGGCTCTCCCTGTGAATTATTTAAAGAAGTGTGAACTTTTGCAATAGAACTCCTCCTCAGGGGTTAGCTAGCTGTCATCAAATGTGTCTTCCTTCCACTTTTTTTTTTTGGGGGGGGGGCTATTTGGAGCAAATGTTTTGATCAGTCCTAGGACTCATCATTTTTTTTAAAAAAAATGGAGCATGTTTGCTGGGATGGTCCTATATTTTGAGGGACAACCCTAAGGTATTTTAGAATTAGAGTATTAGCATTACACCAATGCTAAGAAATATTATTAATTTTTTTAAAGCTGAACATAAAGTTTTTTTGTTCTGATATATTTTGGAATTAGAAAGAAACCCATTTGAAGGTGTGAATAAAATGTTGCTGGTACAAGAAATTGACAGAAAATGAGACAACATAAAACTAATGTTGACATGTTGCTTATGTTTTAAAAAATTGAAAATTATAGCCATAGTTACTATAGTTTCTTTTCTCAATTGGTTAGATGTAAATAATTAGTAAGTTACTGCAGTTTCTAGATACAGTTTCCCCATTTAAAAGAGCCCAACAACGAAGTGCAGAAGAAAGAGAAAAGGAAAACATCTCCATCAAGATACTCAGGCAGTCACAAAGATCTTCAATTTTTTTAATTTTTTCTTTTTTTTCTTTTTTTCTTTTTCCTTTTTCTTCTTCTCTCTTCGCTATTCCTCTCTTCTTTTTACGGTGTTCTCCGCTTTTTTTTTCTTTCACACATTTTTTTCCTTCTTTTTCTCTATCGGTTTTTAATCTTGTCACAGAAAACTCAATAAAAATATTTAAAAAAAATAAAAATAAAAGAGCCCATACAGTACTCAAGCTGTAGAGCAAGCTGCTTAGGAGTTTCTCTTTACAAGCACACTATTGCAGATGGAGTGAGGGGGTCCTTTCATTGAGCTATTCATCCATCCTTATATTGCTTTTCTAGAGAACCTTCACAAATCAGAGGTCTTTTGACAGTGCCAAATAGAATAAAATAGAGAGCAAGGGCAGTTATTGAGGGCTGAGAGAACAATTGGCCTTCACAAAACCTTGGAGCTATGTTTCTTAAGCTTCCAGACTGCATAAAAATCTAGGCACAAATAGATATGTGTGATGGTTTTGAGATACATGAACGTCTAGGCTGTTCAGACATGGGATTGTTCAGGATACCTTCTTCCAAGAAGACCTTTTGATGCCAGAGACAGAAGATCCAAATTATGTTCTTGCTAGTGTGATAAACTATAAATGCCTGAGATTTTGATGTTCTTGTAGGAATGTAGGCCATGCCTAAAACATCACTCCTCTCTCTGCCTAATTGGAGAGGCCAGCTTTGCCGATATGCATATCAGGATAGGTTCAGAAAGTAACATCCTCTAAACCAAGGGTGTGGAACTTTTTGATCTCCAAAAAGACTGCAGCTCCCGTCAGTCCCACCCCATCCAGACAATTGCAAGAAACTCTGATTGCTGTAGCCCCAAACATCTGAAGGACCAAAGGTCTGCCCTTCTGTTTAATCTTCCTAATAATTTCCCTCTTTCTTCTTCCTTTTGCTTGTCCCCCAGGTGCTGGATTTTGGTTGGCCTGACTTGCACACTCCTGCTCTGGAGAAGATATGCAGCATCTGTAAAGCCATGGATACTTGGCTCAATGCTGATCCTCATAATGTGGTGGTTCTCCATAACAAGGTGAGCAAGAAAGGAAGGGGTTTCTGGGCAGCTAGAGAAGGCTCCATGGGTTGTGTATCTCTGATTACGGCAGTGTGGGAGAAGGTTTTTTTTGTTAAGGTTTTGGCTGTGAGCAGGCCCATAGCCAGGATTTCGATTCGGGGGGGGGGGGGGGGGGGGGGGGCTGAGTCTGAGTGAAAGAGGGTCTACACTAGCAAACCTTTTGTATTGTTACCCCAATATATCCCTTGCATATGGGATATATTGAGTATGGTGATCAGATCATGATATGAATAAACATAACAGTTTAAATAATGCACCAGTAAGGCCTTTTCGTGAACCACCATGCCTAGTGGTGAGCATTACAGTAACAAATGAAAATCTTGAGCATTTTTTATTCAGATGTTGGAAAGGATACAACTCTTTCAAAGACACTGGACAAAGGTATATATGTGCTGTAAGGGAGAGCTCTGTTGGCAATGAGGGCTATCTTGGCTTCATGTTTGTGGAATTCATGTTCATGTTAAATTGTTGATCATTCATTGAAGCTGCTGCTTTATTTGCCATGCTTCTTTTGCCATGAGTGTGGAGCTATCATAGGCTGGAGAAGTCACCAGGCATATGGACCAAGTGGATGTACACATGATGGATGTACACATGATGGACCAAGTGGATGTACACATGGTCCCTTTTCGAGTGCCCTATATCCACCTGACTTGGAAATTTTACACTCAGCTGAATGTTTAGCCCCTGGTGTTCTTCTGACTATCTTCTTTTCAGATGATGCTGAAAACAGTAGGAAATGTAACATCCTTTTGTTCCACTTTTTATAATTTCATGAACTTGAGTGACTTATAACGAAGATATTTTCTCCATCTGATTACATTGTCTTGTGCTCCCTTGTGACTGTGAGTGATATTGTGATGGCACTGAAAAGCTTAAATCACGTTGTTACTCCTGAATAGAGTAAACTCACCACTTTACAGTTAGTTGAATAGGTTTACTCCAGTTGTAACTAATCAAGAGGAAGTTAGCCATAGTACTATACTCTGGTGTTGTTGCATGTTTTCAATTGATTTGTGCACATTTCTGTGTTGCTCTTGTTTTGTCAGTTAATGTTAATACAATTAATGTTCAAAGTTTATGTTATGGGACAATGGCTCTCCAGCTATCTGATGTGGTAGAGTGCTTACCCCCCCCCCCTTCCCATGTGTCAGGAACAGGTATCGTATTTGTGCCATATTGTTATTGCTTTCACATAGTTTTCTGGAAACTTGACTGGTGACTAATGGATCAAGGACAAGCACTAATCTGCAAACTACGCACGTTGAGTAGTGCTTCTCAAGGGACATCTACATCACAGTTTTCAAGCATTTTCAGATTTGGGAGCCAGTGTGGTATAGTGGTTTGAGTGTTGCCTTAGGAGTCAGGGAAATGAGGACGTGGATTACTGCTCACCCATGGAAACCCCCCATTTAGCATGTCACACACACACTTAGCTTTAGACGAAGGCAGTGACAAACATCCTCAAAAGAAAACTGGCCAAGAAACCCCTGTGTTAAGTCAGAATTGATCTGGGGGCATACAACAACAATAATATTTTCACTCCACTAGGAATCTTGGTGGTGGTAACATGGAGATCTGGCAGTAGAGGGGTATATTATAGCCTATCTAGCTTATTTCTTATGTCATGGTTCTTCACATGTTCATTGTACCATGTTTCCCAAAGGTGAGAGAAGCCTGGAGAGCAGTTAAACAATGTTATTCTCAGTGCCGTTACAGATCTTGTTACATTGTGACCTAATCTTTCTCTTGTCTCTGCTGGAACGCTTACATTGTACAGTAATCCAATAGCTTTTGTGTTAATGAAGCTGCTGCTTGTTGAGATACATTTATTCCCTTCTCAGGTTGCTGTTATGTTCCTGATGTTACACTGATGAGGCAACATGGTTGCTATATTTAGACATTTTGTTCTTTCCATTGCTTATGCACGAGGGAGGAAAGTTGTTGTTCATATTTGTTTAGTAGGTTCTTATACATTTGTTTGACATATTAACCTTCAATCTAAAATACATGCAGTGGGGAAAAGCAGGCCATGCTTTTCTCTCCTGCACTGGTTTTGTGAATCACAAAATGTAATGGGAGTCAAGGGGTCAGTCTGCTCAGCCCTTTGGAAGTCATAGATTGGAGACGATTGGATACATCCTTCTCATCGACATTCAACAAGGGGTGAAAGAAAACAAGCATGTCTCCCTATTTCATCCAGGTTTCCCCACTCAGCTCAAAATGCATAGTAACATGGTATATGTTCAAGATCTCTGAAGTTGCCCTTTAAAAAGCATTTCTGAGTCAAGTATTTTCTGCAGTTAGGAATATGGCTCATTTTATGGCCAGGGTCCATCGTACCTTAGGGACCGCCTCTCCTTCTCCCATCATCGGAGGTCGCAACGACCATCCCAACACGACTTACTCTATATACCGGGTCCTAGAGAAGTGCACTTGGAAAGGACCAGATGCAGGGCTTTTTCTAATTCTACCCCTGCCTTATGGAATTCCTTGCCGCCCTACATGAGAGCCATGCGTGACTTAGGGCCTTTTACTCAAGCACTTAAGACCTGGCTTTTTACTAGAGCATTCGATCCTTGTTATTTTTTAATTTTTGTATGTATGTATTTTATCTTTTACAATTTAGCTGTAAATCGCCTAGAGCATTCTCGGATGGAGGGCGATTAATAAGTAATTAAATGATGATGATGGTGATGATGATGATTTTGGTTGTGATATCTAAATGAAAATTCTGCAAGGGGTGGTTTTATTATCGTTATGGAGAGTCACCCCCAGTATGCTGGTGATGTTCAACTTAGTGATAGTCTATTTATTTATAATGTAGTTCTCTATTAGGTCCAAAGTGGAGGCAGAATCTTGTGCTTATTCCAACAGAAGAACCAAATGCACTCAGTTGGATTTACTTAAATGATAAATAACATTTCTCATTCACTTCAGTGATAAAGTGATGGCGAATGCATACTTTAGTTGAGTCTAGCACTGAATTTAATTTTTCATTTATTAGGCAGGATCTGAAGTCAGTGTCAAATCTGCTTTGCCATGTCTTTCCCCAGGCTTAATGAAGAAAATTGGAATTTATCTGCCGTGTTGGTTTTATTGTGCTATTTATGTACTCTGTCTCCATTTTGTGTCCTAGTGTAGTTTGTTTAAGTAAAACATTTTACACCCAGTTTTTATGGTCAGATGCCCCTGTCAGCTTCTTAGTCAGTGTATAATAGAAATAACAATAGATTTCAAAGACAATGAAGCTATAATACTAAAATTTAACAAAAACATATAGCCAACAACAACCTTTTAAATAGATCTAACATAGTAAAAGTGTCAAAATTCAAGAATTACAGCTAAATGGATTTTATAAACTTAACAACCCAATAACATCCTTTTTTAATTATAATTTCATCCAGTTCAGTCTTCAGGTCCATAGATTTTCCCTGAGGCAATATTGAATTTTCATTGTCAAATGCCACATCTGGTGAGTCTGCATAAGTAATTGCATGTTGTTGCAGTGTAGTTGGTGTCTACATGGCTGGTTTTATTCCATGTTCTGTTGAACATGGATGAATCTTTCAGTTGTGTTTTCTTCCACATTCCAGTTGAGCTTTCACCCCATAGACCAGGGTGGGACATTATCATTCTTCAAAGAATGAGCCCTATACTTTTAGATAATCTGTGGCATTGTCACCTGAAATGTTATAAACTATGAACAAAAGCCTGCAAATATGTGTAGCTGTGTAGTTCTCCACTACCTGGCATTTGTTAAAGCCCCAGGAAGGAGCCTATGCTGCTTCTGACTAAGGGAGGAGAGGCAGCAGGGAGGCAATTCGGGCCAATCCTGCTCAGTTGCAGAATGCAGGGAATGAAGCTCTGTTCTCAGATGATGGGTTTCTTTTCCCAAGAAACCCAAATCAGCTGGGTCTTCGGGGTCTAAGGAGACTTCTTTCTACCAGTAAGGTATAACACCAATACTCTCTCTCTCTCTCTCTCTCTCTCTGTATGTATGTATGTATGTATGTATGCGCACACACATGTATAAGTCTAAATTTTCAGTCAAACATTAATCCAAAAACCTGGGTGGATTTTTCCATGGAACACGCACCATCCCCTTCTCTGAATAGAATAGTGAAAGGTGAAAAGCTAGTCTTCCCCAGAAGAACCTAAAAGATGCACCAACCCCTCTACTTTCCCTATTGTCACTCCACTTCTGGACTTTTTGAATGCCTGGGCAGGGAAATGCTGATAGTGAGCTGCAACCGATCCCTTGGGGCTATGCTGGTGCTTTCCCTTCTCCATGGGATGGTGCTTTCTTTAACCATGGGCTACTTAAAAATTAAACATTTTAACTTCAAAACCTACACTTAACTTGTGCATGAGATCAACTTATGCAGTAATTTCTGTCCTTGCCATGGAAAGACAACTAGAACCGAAATTATTCTGACAAATATGCTTTTCCTCAATAGGGCACATTTCCATCCCAGCCAATGTAACTCACTGAGGACGGGGGGAAATCCCATGCCATGATTTGGTCACCCATAATCCTGAGAAACAGAATTGAAATATTCTGATTGCCAGTGCGTGAACACCATTTGGGTAGGATATTGGCATTCTCATGGGATAAACAAACTCAAGAAAGTACCCATAAAGCCTTCTTAATTAAACCTAATCCAAATTACAATTCTAACCCTACTGCTTTGAAATTCCAGTCCAGTCAGAAAATATTTCATAATTAAGTCAATGCATTTTTTAATCCTGGTGTACGAATATTAATGCTAAGATCTTCCTTTCCTATTTATGAAAACATTTGGAAATTTTACTAGGTTCTTGTCAAAAACAAGACCAACAACATTCTCAGTCACCTGCACTGACCAGATCCAATGACTACAACTTCTCCCAGTCAATCTGGATATACCTACCTGTCATGGAGTTGCTAAGGATAAAGAACCTAGAAGGAACAAAGACATAGAGGCAACAACCCTAAATTCAATCTCCTATCCATGGTTGAATACACAGTTTCAAAACGAAGACTTTTAAGGAGTCAAGTAGTTAAAGTTTGATGAATCAGTCACTTCTATAGATTTGTTTATTTTCTCCCCCATTGAATTAATGGAAACATACACATGAACTGAATTAAATTGTTTTACATCCTCTATTTGGTATCTTTGGTGATACTTTGAAAAGTTCTCCCTTCTTTCTGCTATGGAGAACTGACTTGCTGCAAAGAGGTAGTAATATTGTGCTACCACTTTAAAATATTTCTCATTTTTAATCACAGAAATGGAAACACAAATCTGCAGCTACTTTCTTAATTGTTAACATTCAAAGTATAGCCCCTGTAACATTTATGCATATTATTTATTTCATCAGTTTCATACTGTAGTTGTTCATCATCAAATTGGTGCTTTGATTCAACTTAGAAGGTTGAGGTTCAAATTTTTACCCCACATAAAGTTCTCCGAATGACCTTGAGCTGGCAACTATCTCACAACCTGATCTATGGCGTGGGATTATAAAGGGGCCAGAACCCTATGGACCTAAACACCATAGAATAAATGTATAGGAGAATTTAGTGTGTAAACAAGTTGTATTCTTATTTTTCAACTTATTGCCTTGCCCACAGCTATACAGTGATTCCAGATCTCACAGGATATATTTACACAATCTTCCTGGTCCTATAACACAAATCATTCACAGCAGTGGGACAATGTGTTCTTCTTACATTCAACCAGTCTCCAAGGGCAGAGCGACACCTACTGTTCAGCTGTGTCTTTCTGGCAAGCAAGACATAATAAGGAGGAAAAGAGTCACCCAGCCGGTTTCTTTGTGCCCCAAAGCCTTTTGCTTCTTTTTCATCTCTTGCAAAGGCTGACTGATCTGCATGAACGTGTTTTACATAGAATGTTTGGAGAATTCAATCTTTGTAAATTCTGATATGAACTCATCCGATCTCTACCTCCTGAGACTAATTTGTGAATCTGAAGTTTCTGAAATGTTCTGATGCAATTCTTAGCTCAAACAGTATGTCAAAATATGTTTAAAATACATGCCTTGAGAGAAAATACGTTTCTAAAAGCCATGCTTAAATGCAAGTTTTGCTGTGGATTTTGTAAATCAGACTATTCTACTTATTGGTGTACATATGCAAAAAGGCCAAGGGCCAGAAAACTCAGTAATTCTCTCATCCTTAATTGGTTCGTTCATCTTGGAGAATGGAATTCAGTTGACTTTTTCACAGATGATAGTTATTCAGTTTTTCTAGAGTTCTTTATTACTGATGAAACTGATCATGCTGTTTTGTTTGCAGGGAAACAGAGGCCGAACAGGGGTTGTTATTGCTGCCTACATGCACTACAGCAACATTTCAGCCAGGTAAGAGGCCCTTATTTTTGTGAGTGCAGCAAATTAACTTGGTTTCCTAAAGTGAAATTCAAATGTGGCATACAAGCACAATATGGCTAAAAAATGCAAAAATCAACATTAAAACAAACTATTCTCACATTAAACCCATTTAAAATATAATCTCAAAACAAAGCAGTTTTGAAAAAGTTCAATAAATTGTATAATAGTCTCATAGGTTTCTTTCATTAAAAAGCTTCAGATCTAACAGACTGTCAGAATAAAAAAAATATCACAGACATTTCAGTCCTAAAGCAGTGTTAGAAGAAATAAATAAAAATATTTTCCTGATTATAGAAGAAGAGCAGAGAAGTCCAGTTTAGCCAACCTAACCAAGGCACTGGGATAATGGAAACTGCAGTACAACAATACTTGTCATCCTTTAGTGGAAGCCTATCCATACATCATTTAGGAAAACATGACACTCTCCCTTGAGTGCAGTGGATCTTCTGTATCCTCTGGGATTTGGATACCAAATTCTATGGACACTCCAGTATACAGTGTCATAGTCAAATGGAGTCCCTTTTATATGAAATGGTATGAGTCCTGGAGTGGGCCTGGTAAAATGGCAGGAGGCTACAGCAAGGAATTCCTATACATCAGTGTAATGCTCAGTGTGTATCCCAATCAAGGTTAAGTTTTGGGAATTTTATTTTGAAAAAATTTGGAGCAGTAAGTTGAATCCATGGATGCCAAACCCATGGATATGGATGGGATGACTGTATACCATTACAACAAACACTTCTGTTGATTCTGTAGTGCTGACCAAGCTCTGGACCGATTTGCCATGAAGAGGTTTTATGAGGACAAAGTGATCCCAGTGGGACAGCCATCACAGAAGAGGTTAGTCTTGCTGACTGTAGCCTGTGTGCTTTCCCTTGGAGCATGAGTGCTAATAGTGTTGTTTACAGAGCATATGTGTAGCAAAATTTAAAGGCTGTATTAAAGGCCCACGTGGATTTTGAAATTTTATGCCTTCATATAGTTGGGTAAAGAGTTAGCCCCTGTTGGCTCTATACTTTTTATGATTAACCTAGAATGTCTGCTCTCTTTGTTGTTTCTTCCAATATCAACAGCTGTTCATCCTCATACAGACATAGGAAGCTAGTGAGAGATTTGGGCAACTAGGCTGAGGGGGAAAGCATTCATAAGAAAGTGAAAAAAATGGTTCTAGTTAGAGAACAATCTATTTCTCCTTTGGGGCAGTTTAACATTTCTGGATAGCATGAGAACATGGATTCTCAAAACTCTGGATATCTCTTGCAAAGAGAATTTTATTCAGTTCTGCTGTACAGGCAGTCCCCAAGTTACGAACAAGATAGGCTCTGTAGGTTTGTTCTTAACTTGATTTTTTAGGTAAGCCGTAACAGATACATTATTTTAAGCATAACTCCAGCCAAATATACATATTTTAACACTTTGGATAGCATAAGGAAGTGTTAACATCCCTGTGCTGTTTGTTTTGCCCCTATTCAGAAGATTTCACTTCACTTTCTGTCTCCATGATAATTGGATTTTGAAAAAAATTGGCTTTTTGTGGAAACAAGGATAGGTGAGAAAGCTTCAGTGGAGACACCTTTTCCCCATGATAAGTCTTTAAGGTGTGAATTTCCCTTCTGAGTGGGAGATTTCTCTCACTTGCTGTTGTCTCACCCGCCACCTCCCATTCTTATGTATGAGTCATTTGTTAGTCGGATGTTTGTAACTCGGAGACTGCCTGTATGGTTAAAAGTTTGTACGTACAAGTCATCTGTGTAGCCTTTAAAGTGCTTCCAGACAGATTCACTAGGTGGTGCTGGAGTCAAAAAAGGGAAAATGCTTGTTTGTGAGGGCCAAAAAAAGACTTTTTTAGTCTCATAGCCCCTTGCAACATCTCGGCATGTGCTCCTTTTAAAAAAGGACACACTGTGATCAATTGAGTATGCAAGTATTGAATAACATAAATGTTTTTTTAATGAGAAGTGCTGAGAATTCATTTAAGACTATGCATAATTTGTCCTGAAATAGAATAGCAATAGTCCAGTTACTGGCACATGTCACTATAGCAAACTCAAAACTGTTTGGAGTACAATCCAGTACATGTGTACTTGGAAATTAGTCACATTAAATTCAGTTGAGATTATGTCTAGAGGCTTGTCTATATGAGCCAAAAAAAATCCATACTCATTGTGAATTGCAGTCCTCGTGATGCTTTCCATTAAGTATCATCTTTTTTTTAAAAAAAACTTTAAAACAACTGGGTTTGCTTGAGATGTCAGAGTATCCTAGGACTTCAGGGCTGTCTCGGCAGCTGGATTAGGTCTGATCCGGATCGATCCATAGTCCAGATGGACACTGCTGCTAACATTATTTTCCTTGCCCTGATCAAGGCAGACAAAGGGGAGATGTCGTGTGCCTGTGTTGCCAGTGCTTCTTCTCCTAGGCATCCATGGAGCTCTGGCTAAATGCCTGCACACTGCTTTCAAGAGATTCTAACTAACTACTGCCTTGTTTTCAATCCCAGGTATGTCCATTACTTCAGTGGTCTGCTCTCTGGCACCATCAAAATGAACAACAAGCCTCTTTTTCTGCATCATGTCATAATGCACGGCATTCCCAACTTTGAGTCTCAAGGAGGTAAATGGCTTTTCATGCATTGTGAAAATTCAGCTTCTGAATGAATGAAATATACCCTGTCATTTGGTTCTTTGGAAATCCCACAACTTCTCTATTAACTGTGCTTAAGACTTGCTTGATCTACAGATGCTGGCATGTTGAGGTGATATAGTTGAGGTGATACAGTGGACTGTGCCATTTCAGACTGTGGTTTGGGGATTGTGTTTTTGAATGCTCTGCCACCAAAGATACTTTGTAAATTGGAAAGTAAACTACACGGGAGAGGGTTTTTTAAAAATGTTTTTCTCTGAAGTTATACTTTTCTATTTGCAGAGGTTTTTTTCATATAATACTGTATATGTATGGGAAAGTGTTCAGAAGTGGAACATTACACATGTAATTTGAAGTCGTGTAGCCTATTTTCTCAGCTCAGCATTCTGCCACCTCATTCTGCTTCTGAGACAGAGCCAGCCTTTCTACCATTTCTAACTCCTGATTTTGTTTTGGGCAGCTTAATATGCATGCCTGTTCCCTACACTGGGGCAGATGTTCTCACCTGTTCAAAGGGAATTAGGATAGTTCCAGCACTTGTTTGAAAAGTTGTTCCCACCTCCTGGGGCTGAATATGCCTATAGCTCCTTAATTCTGTTTTAGGTTGTTACATAACAATGCTGCTAAAGCCAGTGTTTACCCTCCATTCAAGTATCTTGAATTAAATTAGTCCTATTCTTTTACTCAGGATGCATCTACATTGTAAAATGAATGCATTTGGATACCACTTTGACTGCCATAACTCAATGTTACGGAATCCTGAAATGTGTAGTTTGGCAAGGCAGAGAAGTCTAAAGAACTTGTAAAACTACAGCTCCATTGATTTAATTGCATTTGGGCCAGAGCAGCTGAATGGTGTAAAACCGCACTAATTTCAAATATTCTGAGCCTACTCCAGCTGTAACAAAATATGATTCCAAACTCATGAGTCCTAAGTAACAACGTAATAATGTTTCAATAGACTCCCTGGTGGAGCTTTTGATAATATAAGAAGTAAACAGACACATTCCTGTTTACTTCTGTTCCACCCACCCACCTATAACACAGAGGCATACACTTAAATATACACATGTACTTCTCTAATATGATTTTGTTAGACCTGGAGATCACATGTATTAATTACATATGTCTCATTTCCTGTACTCAGGACCCTCAGCAAACCTTTGAAACACAGAGCTGGACAAAGACATTAAATAGTGACTCTAAAGGTATATCTGAACTCCTTTGGCATCAAAGAAAAGAAAGGTTCAGCTGCCTAACTGTGCTTGATTTTTTTCCAAGGCATCTGTCACTGTCACAGACCTTGTCCTGTTGACTATTGGAAGGGCGCTGTCACTGAAAACCTCTCCTCCAGGCTAGGATGTTTGTCTTGACCTCATACTGTTTGTGTTCCCTTCTCTGTAACTAAAATAGCTCCCTGACTAATGAAAGCCCCTTTCTCTTTGTCTTTGATTTATGTCTCCTAGGCTGCCGGCCCTTCCTCAAGATATACCAAGCTATGCAACCTGTCTACACATCTGGCATCTAGTAAATGTCGCCTCGGAGTTGGCACTACTCTTTGACTTCCAGCACTCAAATTCCCCCTCCCTCCCTCTCCATTAATAGGGACAGGGCAGACCTTAGTCCACATCACTCTGGGATTTTCATTTGGAATATTTTCCGGCCATGCAAACTGCTCTGGCTGGTCCAAGACAGCTTGCATGGCTTGTGGGAAAATCATATTGAAAGAAATGTGGAAAAGAAGGAAAGACAGTCTTTTCTCTTTCTTTTATTCACATCAGCAGGTTTTCCGGCTCCATCTCAATAATTAATTTCTTTCCTTGCTAAATTTTGTGCACATAAAGATGTGATTTATTAGCTTATTGACTTAACTTCTGTTAATAAGAGGGGAACATCACCACCATCATCATAATCATAGGTGAAGCCTCGTGGCTGAGTTTAATTTTGTACCAGAAGTATAGTCTTGGTGATGGGTCTGTGATTGTAGAGACTTATTCTGGACCTGCAAGCAAGGCATTGAATGAGATGCTGGACATGACAAACATTTGTGTAAACACACACAAAGAATGCTGCAAAAAGAGAGGTATTTCTGGTACTGATATTCACAATGAGAAATTCAAGGGATTTACAATCTGATCATTGTAAAAGCCAACCAAGCATGCCCAGAGTTGTGGGCTTATGTGCGAAGATAATGCAAAATAAAAGTTAAGGGAATGAAAGAGGGGAGGGGAGGAAAAATGATAAGTTAACATTTTCTGACATCATATGGTATGCATAGTCAGGGTCTTAAATTGGAATGGAGAATAAGACACAGTCTTAAATAGATTGGCTTTACCTAAGTGCTGCATAGGCTTCATCCAATGTTTAACAGTGTACAGCAAATTCCCCCATTTAAAAATATCCATAGTTACTCTCATTTGTCCCCAGTTATATTCAAAATATTTCATTAAAATCTTCTGCATATAGAAGCAGATGTGGACTATACAAAACATTTGTGATATACTCTGGGGTCGAGTCTAGAAAAGTGACTTTCATAGACCACAGCCTTTGCAGTCTTCCGGGCAGTTTGGACAGTGTGGTTCTGGAAGTTCAAAAAACATTTTTGAGTACTGATTAGGGGTAGACTGTTTGATGATTAATTGGAACAAACAATATGGAGAGGTATTTCCACACATTACTATTTGCTTCACTTGTGCTGATCAGTGCAAGTTAAGTAGGCTATCAGGATCAGATGGAGATAATAAAGCAGCTGTAGTACAATGCTAGGAAATAGCAATATCAAACTCCCACATTTGTTGGAATTGTTTAAGAGCCTGTCATGCATGGGGCAAGCTTTTGTATGGGCAACTTAAATCAGGCATAGCCAAGCTCTGGAGGTCAGTTTTCTAATCCTAGATCCTTCAAGTGGATATGCTCCACCTCCTCCAAGTAAATTTGGAAGTGACCAGAAAGTTACATCTTGTCTGGGGGGAAAAATCTCAAACACTTCTGATTTGAGAGGGAAAAAGAACCATTTTTTTGGCTAAGATATAGAGTATGTACATATTCTTACATGGGATAATTGCACCCCCTAAATACAGATGAATTTTAGAGGAGCAATCTATCAAAACATTCTTCAACATTTTTAGACTCATGAATATTTCAGAGGACCTAGAACTAGAAAGATAGCATCAGTGAGCCATGCACATCCTGTGAGGTAGATGATTTCCACCCGTGACTTAGAGACCATCCCAGCTGTCTTGAGTACTCAGGGTCTGTTCTCAGTGCTTAGCTTATTTCTTCTTCTTTTCAGCAATGTGCAGGGAGATAGCCAGACCAGCATCTGCATCACCATAGAGCCTGGACTGCTCTTAAAGGGAGATATATTGGTAAGAGTCAAATATGCATAGTTCATTTCTATTTTCTACCAACATGAAATTTTGGTACACTAAGCACTTCTTGCCCACTGATTCTATTTTGAAGATAGAAGAAGAACCCTAGGAAATATGTAAATTCTAGTCCATTTCCTCCAGGCAAATTTCAGCATCATTTTGAGGAGGAATCCAGAAGAGATGAGAGCCTGGAACCACGGAAGAGTGGATGTGTTCAAGTATAGTTGTATTCCTTTGTAGAGAGAAAGATAGAATATATATGTGAAACTGATATAAAGCTGATGGCAGTTTTCTCTTACTCATCTCTTCCTCCTTCCTGGCAGCTGAAATGCTATCACAAAGAGTTCCGCAGCCCAACACGGGACGTTATATTCCGGGTGCAGTTCCACACGTGTGCCATTCACGATCTGGCTGTTGTCTTCAATAAGGAAGACCTGGATGATGCCTTTAAAGGTAAACTTTTCATCTCAGCTGTATAAGGAGAACAACAGGGTATCAGCTTAGTTATCAGGATTAAAGTATATACTGTTTGGTCAGGGTATTTTTATTGCTTTTTCAAGTAGCTCACATAAAATCATAGAATCATTGAGTTGGAAGAGACCTTGTGGACCATCTAGTCCAAACCCCTACCAAGAAGTAGGAAAATCACATTCAAAGCATCCCTGACAGATGGCCATCCAGCCTCTGCTTAAAAGGATATAATGATAGAAGAGGGTATAAAGAAATAGGTCTGTCTTTACTTTGTTAAAAAAGTGTTCTTGTATTTCAGGACCCTTGCAATGGTCTAGTTTGTTGGTTTGCAGAAGGGATGAAAGATTCAGTTCCAAATCTTTAGTTCGAACATATATCCTTTCTCAAATGCAATGTGGTCATTAAGTGCTGCCTTTATCAGGACACATGGTAATGTAGGCACCTCACATAAAATGTTGTATCTGGAGTGCATAGATATGAGGCAAGAAGATAGAGTCAGGTGCTATGTCCTGACCCCCAAAAGCTTCTTATTATCTTCAGATTCAGTGGACAATGCTGTTCTTTCATGATCACTGAAGTATGATTGTACAGTTGTCTGTTGTCTTGGAGAGCATCATGTTTTCTCCCAAATGAAAAAATCCTAGCACCAGTCATGATTTTATTTATTTATTTATTTCTCACACTTCTCATGATATAGGGACTCAAAGTGACAAGGAGGGAGTGACTGCCCCTCACTCCTTAGTTTTATTTATTCCCAAGGAAATTGAGGAAGGGGGAGGAAATAGATTGCACAAATAGCCAGAGAATGGTTCCAAAAAACATACGCTTGGGTTTATTTAGTCTCCCTATTGAATAACTTGGCAGCAGCCCATTGGCTGATTTTTCCCCACCCCTTTCCAGAAGCTTTGAAGACTGCATGAGGAGGGGAAAAGGTGGTCATTGTCAAATAAGATGGCACTCATGTGTTCTTGCCAGGTGTCATGAGCTGTAAACGCCTTTCCTAGTGAGTCATGTATTCTGTTACCGAACTAAACTGCTATTGCTCATTTTTATATCTCCTGAAGTGATCTAAAAATTTGTCTGGAAGTGTATAAAAAGAGTCCGGATGGTGTTTTTCTTCCTTTACTTCTGACTTTGCAGAGAAATTGAAATACCAGACATTATAATGGACTCCTGTCCGTGATGTAATTGCTTTGCCAGTGGTAAGCAGAGATCATTTTTGTGAGGGCCATGTGAGTGACCAAATATGGCTGTTAGCCATTCTGGAATTAATTCCTTTTAAAAATGTAGAGACCTGGCACAGCATATTAAAGCCACAGCTATGCATTCATCTGCATCGATACTGTCTCAGAATTGTTTGATTTACTTTTAAGCTATACACTTTCCAGAGTTCTTTGGATGTTGAAAAATCTGTTAAAAATATAACAGCACAACAGTAATTCATTAAAACAATGAATAAAGGCAGCCAAACACCACCAAGATGAAACAGCTGTGTAATAATAAAATATTTCACAACCAAGGGTAATTTCAGGTTAAAAGTGCAAAGTTGTAGAAGTTCAGAAATAGTTCTTCAGATGTCTGAGTTGTTGAAAAGACTATAATGGAGCCAGCAAGTCAGCCTCTTTGGGAAAGGCATTTCTCAGATGGAGGCCACCACTGAAAATGCCCTAAGAAAAATTGAAATTGGAATTATTTTGAGTGAGACATCAGGATCCTTCCTCAAGAAAACTGGAGACCTGATCTCAGACTACTATACTTACATTCACTAACATTTTGTTGTGTATATATTTTAACCTAAAACTTCCATCAGCCCCACCCAGCATCAGCAGTGACAAGGGATTGTGGAAGCTATAATCCAAAATAGTAAGAGGGCCAAAGGTTTCCCATATGTGCTGGGGAAGGGGACTACAGCCCCTTCCCCAAACTGGGCATTATGGGTTCACTTTCTATGTTTTCACTGAATGTATACATACTGATATACCTAAACCCTCTTCCTCCTCATTTTTCTTCATTACAGATGAGCGATTTCCAGAGTACGGGAAGGTGGAGTTTGTTTTCTCTTATGGTCCTGAGAAGATTCAAGGTATTACACCTTTCTAGTCACCAACTACTGACATAAATCACTTGCATTCCATGTCCTGTGTTTGATCCTTTTCATATCCAAGCATTACAGTTTCCTGTGTGCAGCTCCTGTGTGATCCTCTTGCTGTTCTTGTGTGTTGTAGAAATCAAATCTTTCAGGTCTACCTTGGGCTCTGATCTGAGAAGCAACTGTAATGTTGAATTTTTTGAGGGGGGGGGGGGGAAGGACAGCGATACTTTGGTCTTTCAAGTAATTGATCAGACTCCTTGAGTCAGTTCTGGATCTCCTTGGGCATTATCCAACATTGGACATCTACTGATTGAACAGCAAATCTATTGTCTTGAGGAGGGGATACAATCTTACATTCCCCCTTTACTCCACCCCTTGCATGTAGGATGCTTGTTATCAAGGGCTGGAAAACATAGAGAGCCAGTTGCCAGGAAGTTCTGCAAGCTACTGAATGGAGAAGCCCAGATCCTGACATTCATCAGTGTTTTCTTTTTTAAGTCTCTGCCCTTTTACCACATTCCTCTTACCTTTTAATTTGTGTTTTTCTTTCACATGTTACTGATTTATTTCATGTCTGATCCCATACTTCATGTAATTGAGTAGCCGTGTTACTAAGACATGATATCTTTGTTCCATAGGCATGGAACATCTTGAGAATGGCCCCAGTGTCTCAGTGGACTACAACACTTCAGATCCGCTCATCCGCAGGGACTCCTATGAAAGCTTTAACCTGCATCGGGAAGATAGCATGGAGGGTAAGTGGCTCAGCATTATCTTGCACTCAGTTCAGCTTTTCAGATACAAGGATGGTTATATCCCACCTGACTGTGTAACATTTCCATAAAAGCAGATCACTTATAAGAGGCAATCATGTTTTCTGGATTACAATGAGACAAATACTATTAGCCACCACACTTTTTACAAATGCAAATTTTATATAACACAATGGTAGAGTATATGATAGTCTGTAGTCTGGCTTCTTTGGTACAATTCTGGCAGGGTCATATTATGTATGATTTTTACAGAAAATATATTGGAGATGTTAAGCCTCTAATTATTTTTGGATTCTAACTCTTGTCAGATTAGGAATATAGGGTTTTTTTTTTAGCTAATTTCATTCTCAAAGAAAGCATCAAAAATTTTGACTGTTGTCTTCCCTTTGCGAGTGTGAAGCTTATTCTGCAAATAAATGCACACAATACTTTTGTGCAGAAAACAGAATATTCTGTGCAGAAAAAATGCTTTCTCTGCAGAAAATATTGTTTCAGAAAATTGCTGTAGTTGAGGACATCCTATGCACAATACATGTTTGATGTTTTTGCACAGAAATAATTTTTTTGAGAAAAAAAAGGAATTTTCTGCAAAAAAAAATGTTTTGTGTAAACATATTTTATAAGTTGAAAATACTACTTTCTATGCAACGATCTATGTATGAACATTGTATGGAATACATTTTGAACTGTAGAGTTCAGAATTGTTCTAGAGGTGCTTGAGAAACACATTTTTGACTATTTTCTCAAAAACTGACAAATATATTTCCATCTCAATCCTAGCCCATATTGATGGTGATAATTAAACATGAAATCCTGAAACATTGAATACATTTTGAGATGTCAGTAGCTCTTCAACAAAGAAAAGTTCTGATGAAGTATCCAAGTCATATATAGAGAATTACCATGGTGTAGCATATAGAGGGAAAAGAGCCTCTCAATGTGAGCCTCTTATACTCCAAACATTGATCATATTTGGGATGTAGTAGTTTGAGTATTGGACTGTAAACTCTGGAGACCAGGCTGAATCACCACTAAACAATGAAAATCCACTGGGTGCCCTTGGCAAGGCACACTCTCTCAGGCTCAGAAGAAGGTAAAGGCAACCACCAAACTTTCTGAAGAAACTCTGTGATAGGTTTGCCTTAGTTTCCAAAAGTTGAAAACAAAATTGAATATAAGCAGTAGGCTTGTTTGATCCAAAAAAAAAAAGAAAAAAAAAGAAAAGAAAAGAAAGAAAGAAAAAGGTTCAAAACTCATTTTGGATGTAGTGGTTCGATTCTAAAGTCACTTCCAATTTTCACCAAAAAAAAGTTGAAACTTCCGAGAGTTCCGAATCCTTCCTTAATGGTTTGAAAGTATTATTTCCTGTTTCATTGGGTAGGCTTTACTTTGAAAGTAGCTGTTTTACACCAGAAAGGGGGGGGGAGTAAAGGGAGCAAATGCACCCACTGTGTTTAAAAACACTATGCAGGCTCCAAGGGGGAAGGGGGGGGGGAGCAAAGGCACCCATTGGGTTTAAAAATGTTGAATCATTTTCCGACTCATCACTTCATTAAAGAAATGGCGGAAAAGGCTTCGGAAGGGCAAAGGGACTTTCTGTTTCCTTAAAAAGTTAGAAATCACTTCAAAAAGCAAATCTTTTTGAATTTATTCCAAATTAATTACATTCCGTCTGAACCTAACCATCTCTAATAAGCAGGCATTGGGCAGAATTAAGGTACTCCTGCTTCTATTAATAATAGCATTAACTATCAAGCTCTAAAATGTGCTTTTTAACATTGTAATTTATATTTTAATAAGGTAAAAGTGAGGTTGTTGTACAAGGGAGCAATTTCTAATACAAATAACCACAGCAGACACATTTTGTAGTCCAGAAGACAACCCACATTGTCTTTGAATCAAGAAGAGTGCACTCAGTTTGGGATAATTTACTTGTTCCTTCCTCTTTCAAAGAATCCGATTGGCTGTTATGCTAAAAGGTTGCTTCCTTTGCCTAGAGCCAATCTCCTCTGAGGTCAGTAAATAATTCTTGGCAGTACTATTTTATTTCCCTTAGCCTTCCAGTTGCTAAGTCATGGTCCCTCCTGGCCCAGCCCATGTACATAGCAGACACTCAGTCACGGGTGGCCTGCTTGCCTCAAAGCCAGTGCATGGACAGGAATGAGGAGAGGTGGGAACAGATGAATTTTCTGGATAGCCTGAAGGTCACAGGCTGCAAATGAGCCATGCATGAGAAACAGATGGTGTGAGTCAAATGTTTTGCAAAGTGACAGAGTAATGTGTATGATACAACATCAAGGAAAGCCAAGATGTTCTGTTAAGTCTCTCACCCAAAATCCTGGAGTGAGTGATGAGTTTCAAAAACGCAAAATGCTTTGGCTTCCTATGAAGTGGGGACAGGGAAAGTGAGAGAACAAGCATTCCAGTTAATGAGCTGGCTGGAATGGTATTGCTCCTCTTCTTTTTTTGCTTCATGCTTCATAGATTGGCTAGATAAAGCTGACATGGTCTAACATATGGATTCCTGCCAGAGAATGGGCACATAGGCATAGACTTGTGATGCATATCTTGAAAGCTCAGCATGAGCTCACCACTGCTGTGACCAGAACAGGCTGTTATCATGACCAGTTTCTCAGATGGCAACACCTCTGTGCTTACATTTGGCTGGGACTGCACTGCCATGTTTGTTTGCTTCCTTTTAGGAACAGTGTTAATTTTTTGTTGGGCCTAACTATGTCAGGAGCACAGGTATTGGTTAGATGGGCTGCTTGAAGAAAGAAGGAAAGTGACACTGTCCTATATCTAACTGTGTGTGTCAACTACAGTGAACATATTGAACCAGAAGAGTTTGCATGAGTTATGATTTCCCATCCAACAGTTTCTTTGTTGGGTGTAATTTAGTTGGGACCAGTCGTTGAATTAACACTAGGGTTAGAATCATTTAACCCTCCAGATGTTGTTGGACTACAGCTTCCAGAATTCACTGGCTATGTTGGATAGGGCAACTGGAATATACAGCCAAGCAATATCTAGAGCACTACCCAATTTTCGACTCTCATTTAGACCATGATTTGGTTGTTTCCTTTTTGTGAAGTGGCAATGAAAATAATTTCACTTTGACACTTTCCTCAAAGAACAAACAAATAGCTATTGCAGAATAGGGGGGAAATAATTGAGATAAAGATACAAAAAATATCACTCCAGTTGAGTTGAAAACTGTTTGGAAACACATTTTTTGTGCTTGGACTTTGTGGCCTTTTGTACTTAAAGTTAGAAATGTGTTTATTTCTTGCAGCCTCTTCATTTTATGGATGATCCTTATGGATGAGGCCTTATGAGAAAATAATAAAGTAGTGTGATAGAGATAAAAAGATTTTCCCCTATGAGGTTTGGTGGATAAATATCATTTTTGGTGTGATTTCCAATGAAGGCTGCAAGATAACATACAATAAAATGATTTGGTGGTTTGAATGCTGGATTGGGACTCTGAAGATGGGAATTTGTATCCCCACTCTGTCATGGAAACTCCCTGGTGACCTTGAGCAAGTCACACTCAAAGCCTCAGAGGAAGGAAAAGGTAACCTGCCTCTGAATAACTTTTGCAAAGAAACCGTCTTGATATGCTCTTCTTAAGATCAGAAGTGACTTTAAGGCACATTACAACAACAACAACAACAACAACAACAACAACAACAACATTGCTACATTTTATTTTTCAATGCTGCTGGTGATTTTTACCCATTACTCATTTGGGGGTACTTTTGGACAAGTCCGAGCTTGTTGTTTAATATCTGAGAAGCAATGCGTGCACAATGCACTGTCTCCAGTGAATGGAATGCCAAATAGAAATGTCCAGATGCAGAAAAGGAACAGGCCTGTTTTATGCATCTGTGCTGAATAGGTCCCATAATATCACCTTGGAATGTACTGGAACTTGACTGCCCATCTTCCATGTGCAGAACTCATTCCATTTCCATGTAAGGTCAGCAGAGGTTCCCTTTTCCAGAGCCATTAACTTCCAAAGCACTTGATCCCATATGTAAGAAGACATTAATGATAATGGATGGGCTGTGAAAATCTCAGAGGGATCCATGCTTAAGCTTTGGTATTTATGGCTTCTCCTTGCTTGTCAAGCTGTCCTGTACTTTCAGAAGACAAAAGGCATATGGAAAAAAGAGCTGGGATTGCATTTGTTAATATAGGGCTTTTCATTCCTGGCCAAAGTCCTTGCGTGACAGCGACATGGAAAATACTCAGGTAATTTAAGTCAGAAATCTGCTTGAGAGGACCCTGATCATTTTCCAGTTTGTGTGTGTGTGTAGATGTAAGACTCTTCTCTTCTCCCCATTCCAACTTTCACTTCCTCACAATCACAGTTTTAGAAATCCTTTGCATCATTTTTCAGAGATATTGACATGACAGAGAATTTTTCATTAAATTAAAAATAAATAAAGAATCTGACTTCTTCAGCAAGACTATTGCAATTTCTTTCGATTCACTAAAGACATACTGGAAGGGTTTGGAAAAATTCCTTTTTGGAATGCAAACTCCAAAATCCCACATTCAGCCCCCAAAGGTAATTTCCCCAATACTACTTTATAACCAATGTGCACCAGCAAATGCATTTGGCTACTCTCTTGGCAGTAAGCCAAGCACCCACGGAGGGAGTCTGGGTATTATAGTCCAAAAGTAACTGTTCCAAGTCCCAGAAAGTAGTGATGTTGGTGCAGCTGTCTTCACAGATACAAACTATGATATTGCAGAACTCTGATAGGGGAGTGGGCTCTGTGAGATATAGTTGGCTGTACTTTGAAGTAGATGTACATTTGATTGCACCTAAATCACGAACCCCCATATACTTTAATCTCCTCACAACATTTGGTTGCATGTCAAAAGACAAATGATAGGAACATTAATTTCTGCCTAGGGATAGAAGTGTGTCTCTAACACAGGAATGTCTCTTCTTGAAATTTAATCCAAGA